CATGTAGAGTCAGAGCACTTTGCTTATGGAGGCCCTAGGATGGATGCACCTGCGTCATCTGCATCCTCCTTTCCCTCCCACCAGGACCCTGCTCCAGGAGGACTACGGGTTCTTTCGCGCCATCAGCCTGTGGCCCCCGCTGGTGCTGATCGGTATCTATGCCACATCGCTGTCAGCCTCTATGAGCTCCCTCATTGGGGCCTCCCGCATCCTCCACGCTCTAGCTCAGGATGACCTCTTCGGTGCGCCGTCCCCTACTCCTTGCTCAGCTCTGAGCACACCTTCCCATGTCTGTCTTGGTCTCCACTTGGTCCCAGGCTGACGTGTCTGTCGCGTTGTTTCTGTTTGCACAGGAGTGATCTTGGCACCGGCCAAGGTGGTGTCCCGAACCGGGAACCCCTGGGGGGCTGTGCTGTATTCTTGGGGCCTAGTGCAGGTAAGCCTTCCTTTCAGGCTGTCCTTCCCCTTATCCCCTCCTGGTTCTGTTCCTGGGACCAGGGGGGACCTGGGCTTGGGCTGGGAGAGGGAACAAAAAGGCAGGATGCATTGGCATGTGGTGGGGATGCGGGCACGCCCAGCCTCTCGGTCCTTGTCTAGCTGGTGCTCTTGGCTGGGAAACTAAATACGCTGGCCGCCGTGGTCACCGTCTTCTACTTGGTGGCCTATGCTGCGGTGGACCTGTCCTGCCTGAGCCTGGAGTGGGCCTCGGCCCCTAACTTCCGGTGAGTGGAGAAGTTGCCTGTGTCCTCGGACACCCAGGAGGGAGGCATGGGAAAGGCTGAGTCTAGTGGGCTGAGGTTGGAGATGGAGGGCAATGGCAGGCCCTGAGTGCCCTTCCTTTCTCTCCCCCACTCCCAGCCCCACCTTCAGCCTGTTCTCCTGGCACACCTGCTTGCTGGGGGTGGCCTCCTGTCTTCTCATGATGTTCCTCATCAGCCCTGGGGCCGCCGGTGGCTCGCTGCTTCTTATGGGCCTTCTTTCTGCCCTGCTCACGGCTCGAGGAGGCCCCAGCAGCTGGGGCTACGTCAGCCAGGCCTTGCTTTTCCACCAGGTTGGGGGCCTCGGAGGAGGGGGACAGGGAGGGGGCGGCAGTCTGGGATCCCCACCCCGCTCCAAGTAGGCTTCCTTCTGCTGTGGCTGGAATCGGGGTTCTTGTCTGAGAGGTGGTGAGTAGGGACTGCCCTCTTGAGCCCTTCCTCTCCACACCTCACCCCTGGTCCCAGGTGCGTAAATACCTGCTCCGGCTGGATGTCCGGAAGGACCATGTGAAGTTTTGGCGGCCCCAGCTGCTGCTCCTGGTGGGGAACCCCCGGGGCGCCCTGCCTCTGCTGCGGTTGGCCAACCAGCTCAAGAAGGGGGGCCTCTATGTCCTGGGCCACGTCACCCTGGGAGACCTTGGTGAGTGGCCCTCTGTTCCTTCCCCAGCCTCCTTCTCCCTCATGTCTCTTCAGGCTCTTTGGGTCCAGAGGCCTCATGCTTCTTTCCTGACAACCCTTAAAACCAGCCTGAGCCCTGCCCAGACCTTTTTCTTTGGCCCATTTGGAATTTGGATTCGAGGAGAAGGTGCATGGGTTTGGCACACATCTACTGCCTCCCTTCTCCACAGACTGTCTGCCGTCGGACCCCGTGCAGCCCCAGTATGGGGCATGGCTGAGCCTGGTGGACAGAGCCCAAGTGAAGGCCTTTGTGGACCTCACCCTCTCGCCCTCGGTGCGCCAGGGGGCTCAGCATCTGCTGCGGATCTCCGGCCTTGGTGAGCTACTCCTCCCCGGGTCCCCTCGGCCCCCTCTGTGGCCCCTTTTAATCTCTGCCACCGTCCCCTAGAGAGTAAACCACAGACCGCAGACTCGCAGTCTAGGGCAGATAAGACGCAGGGCTCAGCTCAAAGATACTAGATGGTGTGTGAGAAGGGCCTGGAAGAGACACTTAAGGACTGGAGATGGGTACCACTGACATTTCTTCTTTTCTGACCCAAAAGTTGGGGTGCAAGCTCTGAAGAGCATGCTGTGTTTCTGGGGACAGTGGGAGAATTCCTCGAGGCTAGGGGCTGCTCCATCAAATCTAGGGCAGATAGTTTCTAATCATCCGACCTCAAGATCACTATGCGCTGATGCAGCTGGTGACAAGATGGTATCTCAGCTGGGCCTTAGAAGGGACAGAGAAAGAAGGCCTGGTGTGACATGAGCTCTGGAGACCGCTGAGGATGCAGGGGGGTGTGGGGCTGATGTGCAAGATTCCCTGCTTTATCACTCTGCCTTAGCACCAAGGCCTCTAGCCGCACACCCTGGCTTTCTCCAAATCTGTGCTGAGCTGCCACCTTCTTTCTCAATCCTGGGTGGTGTTAGTCCCCTCTCCCGGCACATGCTCCCGTCTCTAAAGTTCGAGTGTTGGACGATACCCCCCATTTCACGTAAATCAGAACCCTGGACAATGCTCAGGAGAGGGGTGACTAGTTTAATTTGCCAGAGTGGCTGGAGTTCACACCTGCAGAGGTGTTTGGGGGCTGTTGGCAGGCATTATGAGACAGTCCCCGGAGCATCTGAGAGCCTGGTCTCTCCTCAGCCCCATGTTTTGTGAGTGAACCTGTGCCAGGAAACCGCTACTTTCTATGAAATTTATCCTGAGGAAAGTGATTCCAACAAAGGGGAACGATTTCCTCTAGAACTTGATTTACTGGTGGTTTCTGAGCAACCCATTTGTCTCATGAGAAAAAAAACCTTAGGATCTCAGAAACTTTCTGTAAATTCAGCCCTGTTGAGAGTGGGGGTGGGGGGGATTATCCAGTTTCCATTGGTTCAAAAATGGAAAAACCAGGAGCTGTCAGCAGGGACCTGGGGCATTTGCTTCACACAAGGCTCAGAGGCTCAGGGGGCGGGCTCTGCTGCTGGGTGCCTTGTGCTCACCTGCGGACCCCGGTATCTACCCACCATGAGCCTTGGGGCAAATGACTTCACCGCTCTGTGCCTCAGGTTGCTTACCTGCGAAAGGGGTGAGTCAATGGTCCCTACCTCCTAGTGTCACTTCAAGGGTCAGATGAGTTAAAACACAAAGTGCATTCAACAGGCCCTGGCCTTTGGTTAGTGTGAAGATGGTAGCTGTTTCTTCTCCAGGGATCTTGCTTTGGAGTCACCATGTTTGGGGCTTTGCAGTAGTAGTAGAAACAAATCAGGCCAGTTCTCACCATCCCCCAGCAGAGTCTGGGTGCTGTTTCCCAGGGGACGGAGCCCACAAGCTTGACTACTGACTACTCAGGGGTCTGGTCTGCCCACTAGACTCAGACCCTCATCTCCCATCATTAAAAGTATGTTGCTAGAAGCTCGGAGTGGAGGCATCCTACTGCTGTGGACCGGAAGTGCTCATTAGTTAGAACAATCCTAAGGCGAACTTTACGCATTTAAGTCAGGGAGATTAGTCATGTAGGTGCAACAAATAAACGCATGCGAAAGCATCTGGGAAGACGAAAAGTCATTATGCAAACGTTCATAATGTTGCCCGGAGAGCCGAAGCGCAGGGTGAATGCCATGCCTGATGGCTGACGTGTGGCGCTGCCGGCGCATACGAGTGGGTGCGTATTAGTGTGATGTAAACTCAGCCTGTGAGTCTGATTCCTGTCGGTTCCTTCCCACCTCCTCCTCTCTGCCCCCAGGTGGCATGAAGCCCAACACGTTGGTCTTGGGTTTCTACGATGATGCTGAACCCCAGGACCACTTCCTGACAGACCCGGCTTTCTCCGAGGCTGCTGATGGCACCCAGGAGTGTGGGTCCCCAGCCCTGAGCACCCTGTTCCCTCCGCCCCGGGCTCCTGGGAGCCCTCGGGCTCTCAGTCCCCAGGACTATGTGGCTACGGTGGCAGATGCCCTCAAGATGAACAAGAACGTGGTTCTGGCCCGGGCCTGTGGGGCCCTGCCCGCTGAGCGCCTGAGCCGGGGTTCTGGGGGCACCTCGCATCCGCATCATGTGGATGTGTGGCCTCTCAACCTGCTGCGGCCCCGGGGTGGGCCTGGCTATGTGGACGTGTGTGGCCTTTTCCTGCTGCAGATGGCAACCATCTTGGGCATGGTGCCTGCTTGGCACAGTGCCCGGCTCCGGATCTTCTTGTGCCTGGGACCTCGAGAGGCCCCTGGCGCAGCTGAGGGGCGGCTGCGGGCACTGCTGAGCCAGCTGAGGATCAGGGCCGAAGTGCAGGAGGTGGTGTGGGGCGAGGGGGCTGGGACTGCAGAGCCTGAGGAGGAGGAGGAAGGGGACTTTGTGAATGGCAGGCTGGGAGATGCTGAGGCAGAGGCCCTGGCAGGCAGCGCCAACGCCCTGGTTCAGGCCCAGCAGGGGCGCAGCAGAGGAGGAGGGCCCGGTGGGCCTGAGAGTGGGGATGGTGAGGGTGGGCCTGCCACGGCCCTCACTTTCCTGTACCTGCCTCGGCCGCCAGCCGATCCTGCCCGCTACACTCGCTACCTGGCGCTGCTGGAGATTCTGACCCGTGATCTGGGCCCCACGCTGCTCATTCATGGTGTCACCCCGGTCACTTGCACTGATCTCTGATGCCCAGGTCCTGAAGCAGAGAGCACACAGGTCCAGTGACCCGCCCTGATTAGTGGATGTGAAGGGGAAGGGCAGCCTTCTGGCCTGCTCCACATGTGGGGTGTGGAGCCCAAGGGAAGTATTAGGGGATCCTGGGCTGGGGCGTCCTGTCCCTGGGAGAGGGGCTTCAGTGTCCCCACCACGCTGTGGGAGGAAGCTGGCAATCCTCCCCACTGGCCTCCCTTCCTTCACCGGTGCCTTGATGGAGGCTGGGTCTCTGCTTGGACTCTAGGCTACCTCAGTTTCCCCTCACCCAACAGATTCGCAGACCCCTGAGGTTGTGATGTTTTTGTTTGTTTTATTTTTCTAACGGCTGAACATGAATAAAAGACCAAAACACTATGGGCTGGCTGAGTACTGCTGGGGAGAGGAGGGGTAGGTGGGACGGGAAGAGGGAGAGATCTGTATGGGGGAGTGTGGGAAAGAGCAGCGCTGGAGCGTCCCAGCGGTGAGGTGGCCACGTGCAGGACTTGGGGCGCCAGCCTGGGGGCACTGGTAGAAACGGAGGCTGCCAGGGAAAGCCCTCCCAGCTCAGCAGGAGGGGGCTGACTGGGGGAGGGACGGCGGTTTAGGACCTCGGGGGCCACGTGACCCTCCCCCAGGAATGCGGTGACGTCACAGGGGGCGTGGCTGTCCCCAAAATTGGGGAGGAAGGGGAAAAAAAAGCCTGAAAAAGTTTCTTTCCTGGAGTCCCAAACGAGGTGTGGGTCGGAAGCCCAGGGATCAAGAGCAGAAGCTTGGAACTACACAAGGCCCGATCGCTGTCTGGAGTCCCCTGTTCCAGGTCATGTCGGGGCCCACCTGGCTACCCCCAAAGCAGCTAGAGGCTGCCAGAGCCCCTCAGGGGAGAGCGCTCCCCCGAGGCGCCCCGGGGCCGCCGCCAGCCCACGGAGCAGGTAAGGCAGCCCCAGTGCCGCCGAGGAGGCTACCGGCCATTCCGCGCTCACCTGTGCCTCCTGCCTGTCCCTGCCACTGCTTCCCTGAAGCCCTTCCGGCTTCCTGCTCTTCCTGCCCCTCCTGTTCCCTTCTTGGACCCCAGGTGCGGGGGAAGGGGAGAAGAGGAACCCTAGAGGGCGGCCTCCTGAAGTGTCACGCTCCTCTCCTTCCCCATCCCCACCTTGGCTCTCTCTTCCCTCACCCCAGCACTTCAGCCCCACCCCAGGGTCAATTTTTGCCCCCTCCCATCTGAGCAGTGTTACCAGGCCCCGGGGGGACCGGATGATCAGGGGCTGGCCTGGGTGGGGTGCCACGGAGCACCCCAGCGCTCACAGGTGAGAAACTGGAATTGGGGGGTGGGGGGCACTGAGGGTAGGGGCACCTGGGGCAGGTAATTTGAATTCTCTCTGCTTTTGCTTCATCCCCAGGGGCTCCCCCAAGACAGGGGGGCCTTGCGCCCAGGAAGTCTGGATGCTGAGATAGATTCGCTGACCAGTATGCTGGCTGAGCTGGATGGAGGTCGTGGTCATGCCCCACGGCGGTCAGACCGGCAGGTGACCCCTTGGCATGCCCCTGTCCCTCCCTTGCTCCTTGTCTCCTGCCCTCCTCTCCACTCTCTAGTCTGATCCCTTATCTGGATTCTCAGTCTAACACCCACACCCACCCCCCACCCCCGTTGTGAGTGATATACATAGGAGCGCAGAAGGAGCTGGGGCGCCAGAACCTACTAGGTTGTCTCCCTTTTGAGGGTGAGCCCTTGTCAAAGCCTAGTGGTTACCTTGAGGCCGCACACATGGGGGCTTCCACACGTGTGTGCCCTGGAATGGGTCTGCTCACTCCTGGTCTATGTTTTTCCCCAGGCTTATGAGCCCCCTCAGCCCCATGCCTACCGCATGGGCTCAGGCTCCCTGAAGCCGAATGGAGGGGGTGTTCCGATTCCTCCCCAACAGCTCTCCGTATCCCCCTATGGAGGTCCCACTCCGGCCTCCTATGCCACAGCCAGCACCCCTGCCGGCCCTGCCTTCCCCGTGCAAGTGAAGGTGGCACAACCAGTGAGAGGCTGTGGCCCCCCAAGGCGGGGGGCCTCTCATCAGGCCTCTGGAGCCCTCCCGGGCCCCCACTTCCCTCTCCCAGGCCGAGGTGAAGTCTGGGGGGCTGGCTATAGGAGCCACCGTGAGCCAGGGCCAGGCAGTAAAGAGGAGGCTGTAGGAGGAAGAGGAGGCGGGTATGGACCCCAGGTAAGTCCTGTGGAGTCCTCACAGACAACTGGATTGGATGGGCAGGGGTGGTGTTTAATGTCCTGGTTGTCAGAGGCCTGCGGTATTGCAGTTCTGGGTCCCCCAGGGATGTGGTGCTGGTCCGGAAATATGAGGGGGCGGGGCTAGAGCTGTTCACTGGCTCCTGGAGGTGTGTCCCTAGACCCTGGGCTGAGACCTTCTCAGGTGAGCCTAATGGGTGGAATTGCCTGGTCACCTTTGGGAAGTTTGACAGCACACAGAGCTAGGGGTAGGGCTGAATCCCTGATTCCCTCCTCTCAGGTCCCCCTGAGCCAGCCTCCTGAGGAGGAGCTTGAGAGACTGACCAAGAAGCTGGTGCACGACATGAACCACCCTCCCACCGGGGAGTACTTTGGTGAGCTGACCTGGGGTGGGAAGGGGGCTGGAGAGTCAGAAGGCCAGAGAACCACCTTCCTCCTCTGTGCTGATTGACCCTGTCCTTCCCTGTCCTCAGGGCGGTGTGGCGGCTGTGGAGAAGATGTGGTTGGGGATGGGGCTGGAGTTGTGGCCCTGGACCGTGTCTTTCATGTCGGCTGCTTTGTGTGTTACACGTGCCGGGCCCAGCTTCGAGGCCAGCACTTCTATGCTGTGGAGAGGAGGGCGTACTGTGAGAGCTGCTATGTGGTGAGTAGGTGGGTTGGGGGTGTCAGCAGCAGGAGGCAGGGGGCTTCCATCTAAGGTGGGGACTACATGCCAAAGAGGAACAGAGCTCAAAGCTGGGTGGGGGGGGAGGACTAAACTGACACATAAGGGAGGAATTACAAAAGTCGCTAAATACTGGCTGCTGGAGGGAAAGGACAACAGTCCCTTACAAATGTGAGATATTTTAAAATTAAGGGAATGTATTTAAAAAAATTTTTTTTAAATGTTTACTTATTTTTGAAGGAGGGGGGTAGGAGCAGAGAGAAGGAGACACAGAATCTGAAGCAGGCTCCAGGCTCTGAGCTGTCAGCACAGAGCCCAATGCGGGGCTCAAACTCACAATGCAAGATTGTGACCTGAGCCGAAGTCAGATCCTTAACCTTAGCCACCCAGGCGCCCCAAGAGAATGTATTAAATTCCCACACCACCACTCCCGTGGAGCAGCTATTACTACTGAGGGAAACTGAAGCTAAGACTAAACCACTTACCCAGGAGGCTGCTGTGCTATGACTTCTAGTCAGATCTGTTCAAAGCCACTTTTCAATGAATCCCTTGCAGGGGGGCTACATAAACAGATGGGTGGGCCATCGGGCTTCCCTGGCCCCAAACTTCCCACCCTCCTTCCTAATAGGCCACCCTGGAGAAGTGCTCCACATGCTCCCAGCCCATCCTAGACCGGATCCTACGGGCAATGGGGAAGGCCTACCATCCTAGCTGTTTCACCTGTGTGGTGTGCCACCGTGGCCTGGATGGCATCCCTTTCACGGTGGATGCCACCAGCCAGATCCACTGCATTGAGGACTTCCACAGGTCAGGCTGGGTCTCCCCCCTTTGTCTCAGGCCATTTGGCCCTCCCCATCTTCCCCATTTCTCTTTCATGCCTCAGCACCAGTTTCCCACCCCTGGCCTGGTCTCTTTCTTGTTAACATTGCCCTCTTTTCTCAGATCCTAGACCATACCCCTGGTCTCTCCATTCCCTCACATATCTCACCTTCTCTGGGCTCCATGGTTAGTCTCCTCCAACCCTGGGGCTTGACAGCCTCCTTGGTTCCCTACCACCTCAGGAAGTTTGCCCCACGATGCTCAGTGTGTGGTGGGGCCATCATGCCTGAGCCAGGGCAGGAGGAGACTGTACGAATCGTTGCTCTGGATCGCAGTTTTCACGTTGGCTGTTATAAGTGCGAGGTCAGGGGGCCTGGGCAAGGGGAAGGGGGTGGTTCTTGGGGTCTGGGGTGCTGGGTATGGTAGGACCCAGGGATCTAGGCCTGAAAGCTGTTGCTTCTGTCTCAACAGGAGTGTGGGCTGCTGCTCTCTTCCGAGGGTGAGTGTCAGGGCTGTTACCCGCTGGATGGGCACATCTTGTGCAAGGCCTGCAGTGCCTGGCGCATCCAGGAGCTCTCAGCCACCGTCACCACTGACTGCTGAGTCTCCCCAGAAGCACCTGTTGCATTCTCCCACCCTCCCTGACATCTACCTTTACAACTTTGTCACCAAACGCGGTCTCCTCTTCTTCCAATCATGAAATAACAACCCCTCAAGAGTTTCTAAAACCCTTTGAAGTGTGTTGTCTCATCTGATTCTCACAGCAGCCTAACACATGCACAACCGTTGTGCCTGTCTGTGTTTTTATAGAAGTGATCTCAGATTGCATGGTTCCCAGATATCAGTGCCAAGATCAGAGTCTGGATCTTCTTAGTCCTAGTCCTGGTTTTTGACAACTATATACACTGTACACTCTTGCAAACGTAGTTTGGCATAAAGACACCCCTTCTCCCCATGCTGGGAGTGAGCCTGCAGCAGGCTCCAGGGAGGCAGCATCTCCTACTCTTAAACCTTCACATTCCACTCCCCCAACAACCATTTGAGTGTTGTTATCTCCCGGGTGGTGCTGCGCAAGCCAGACTCCACCTGTTGATCAAGACCTCAACCTATAACCCATCCCAACCAAGCATTGTTTGGGTATAAAACAGATTTGCCGGTTTCGCTTACAAGACAGAATGCCTTTGTTGAAATACAGCAGTCACAGGGCTTTGCGTATGGCGCATACTAAGGCAGCAAGAAAGCCTGGTTCTTTGCTGCAGCACAAAATGGTGGGAGATGCTTTAAAATGGTTGCTCTATCCCCCTAAACGCCTGCACTCCCAAACTCCCTGCCCTGCGCCAGGAGAAGGGGAAAACCGCCCCGGATGGGGTCAGGAGGCGCCCCGAGCAGGGTGGTTGGGGGGACAACTGGACACGAACTGGTTTGATGACCCCGGACACATCCGACGGAGAGCGACCTTCGACCTTAACGAGAAGAAGCGCTCCTGCACGCCCAGAAGGCTCAACCGCCTTGCCGAGGCCTCGCTTGGTCCACCTCGGCTCCCATAATTCTTCTCGTTCGCGCAGTTCTCGTTCAGGAGAATGCGCGAGACTTCCGGGTCCCCGCCCCTTCCCATCAGCCCGCGGTGCTCCCAGCCTCTCGCTGTGTGCTTTAAGTTCCAGTTCAGGCCGAGGGGGGAGTTTGTGGTTGAGGCCCCGTTCTGCCGGTGACGCAGGCGCAGCGCGAGTGGCGCGCGCCGACCGCCCATCCCCGGCTGTCCCACTTTCTTCTCGTCTCCTCGGCCCCCTCGCTGAGAGCCCCGCGTCTCCCTCTCACTGTCCGCGCCGCCCTCGCGCCCCGGAGGCAAGAGGCGGGCCCAGGTCTCTCGGAAAACTAGCCTGCCGGAGCGCGAGACTAACGGCCGCGAAGCTCCCAGGTGGGGGAGGGGCGGGGCCTGGAGAGTCGGAGCTGCGGCGGGCGGGAGCAGGGAGGCCTCTGGGGGACCAGTGGGATGTCGGAGCCGTCCGCCTGCTCGCGTAGAGGGTTTGAGATGGCGGGGACAGCGGAAGGCAGGCCTTTGCGTAGGGAGGCGGGCGTGCTGCTCCGGACCAGCTCTGGATCCTTTCCTGCCCTGGTCATTGTTCCGCACCCTGACCAATTCTGTCCGGGCTCCAGGCCCCCTCACACCGCATCATGGGGGACAGTGATGACGAGTACGACCGAAGGCGCAGGGACAAGTTTAGAAGAGAGCGCAGCGACTATGACCGTTCCCGTGAAAGAGATGAAAGACGTCGAGGGGACGATTGGAATGACCGGTAAGACTTATTTTCTTTAGTTTTGTCACCCTGTCTCATTCTGTTGCGCTCCCCCCTCGTTGCATTGTTTTTTTCGTTACATAGGGCGAACCACATGAAGTCGCTCGTACTTGACCGTTTCCGGTCGGGCAACCTATTCGCTGTTTGCCAAAGAGCTACTAGTTGAGGTCAAAGCAGTAGACCTGAGTTTGAGTGTGAAAAAGTACTATTTGTACATGTACTTACAATGCATGCATTTTCTTCTTTGTAAGTTACACGTCAAAGGTGTTGATTCAAAGGAAGTAACGTTTTCGAATTGACTTGAATGGAGAGGTTGTCAGATCAGATCTATTCCCTGGCAAAATATGGTTAAATGTCTTGTAGTTGTCTTCCCTAAAATCAGAATGAGTTGTTTGGACAGTGATGGATTGGGTTAATTGGTTAGGCTTGACTTAGCTAGTCGTTAGCTTTCTGGGATGTTCTTGAGCTAATAATCATCAAGGTGTTTCCACAGAGAGATGTTATTTCAAACAAACTAATCGAGTTAAGGGGAACTCTGCAAGATGTTGTTAATATAAAGGACAATAATCACCAATATCAGTGCTTGATTTGGAAACGTTACGGGGTGGGGGGGAAGCTTGAGGTGACTTATTGTAGTAGTTGTGAAAAAATAGGGAAATCATTCAATTTGCATCTCTTCCCTGGGGAGACTGTGGCACTTTGTTTCCCTGGTTTCTCTAAGAAAGGAGAAAATAAAAATTGTCCTGAATTCTGAAGATAGGTAAGAAGTAGCTGTTGTGATTAAGGAGTTTATTGTCCGGAACTTGGACTTGGGGGCAAAATGACTTTGGGTGTACCCTGCAGTTGAGCGTATATGAGATCATCTTAAAGATGGTTAAGGGTTGAAGGAACAGATCTTCTAAGGGAGGGGTATAGTGGTGGAGATTATATGTTAGAGAGAACTGCAGAAATGTGGCACTTAGCAAGACTTGGAAAGATGATTGGGAATTCCCCAGACACAGATGGAGTGAACAGTTTGGAGTTGGGGACAAAACGTTGTGTGCAGTTTTTTTTAGGGTAGTGGTTCTCAAAATGTCCACAGACCATAGGGATCTGTGGTGTTATAACTATATTTTTCATAGTAACTTGAAGGTGGTATGGTCATTTTCACTGTTGGTGTCATAGTTGGTGGGAAAACACTGATATCTTTGTACAAAATAAGGCAGTGGCACCAAACAGCTAAAAAATAAAAACCCAAGGTTCAATTAATGTCCTTGATGAAGCAGGAGAAATTTTAAATTTTATTAAGTTGGATTCTTGTCTATATGTTTTCATAATATACAAGATGAATGAGAAATCTGCATGAAGCATTTATACTGCATATAGGAGTGCAGTGATTATCTCAAAGAAGAGCTGAGTTTGGAGTTGAACTAACAGGTGTGTAGTTGTTGTTTTGGTAGGATGTCATTTTTGCCCAAATGAAAGATTATCAGACAGTGGTTATTCCTATTTGGGTACTTGACAGACATTTTCTTAACTAAGGATCTATATTACTTCAAGGAAAATTGTTAGCTTTGTTGCCAGTGAGGAAGTGGAACTTGGCAGTGAAAACTGAAATTTTGGAAAACTTATATCTACTCCTGTGACCTTGACAGCCTCTCATTACTTTAGGATTTTTCTGATGAGCTAGGTAGTAATACTAACGAATATAACGTTTTGATACTCTATAATGAGATATGTCAAGATCCACTCACAGAGCAAGAGTGGAAAAAGTTCATTGTGGGCCACCTGGGTGGCTCAGTAGTTAAATGTCCAAGTCTTTTTTTTTTTTTTTTTTTTAATGTTTATTTGGGGGGGGGGGGGGGGGGNATTACTTTAGGATTTTTCTGATGAGCTAGGTAGTAATACTAACGAATATAACGTTTTGATACTCTATAATGAGATATGTCAAGATCCACTCACAGAAAATAAGTGGAAAAAGTTCATTGTGGGCCACCTGGGTGGCTCAGTAGTTAAATGTCCAAGTCTTTTTTTGTTTTTTTTTTTTAATGTTTATTTGGGGGGGGGGGCAGGGAGAGTATGTGAGCGGGAGAGGGATAGAGAGACTGGGGCAGAGGATCCAAAGCGGGCTCTGCGCCAACAGCAGAGAGCCTGATGTGGGGCTCGAACTTACAACTTATTAACCTCAAGATCATGACCTGAGCCTGAGTCAGCCATTTAACTGACTGTGTTGCCCAGGTGCCCCAAACATCCAACTCTTGATTTTGGTTCAGGTCATGATCGCACAATTTGTGATATTGAGCCCCTCCTCTGCCTCTGTATTGACGGCACGATCCTACTTGGGATCCTCTTTCTCCCTTTCTCTCTGCCCCTCCCCTGGTCATGTGCTCGCACACTCTTTCTCTCACATAAACATTAAAAAAAATAGTGGGGGTCGCCTAGGTGACTTGGTTGAGTGTCCAACTTTGGTTCAGGTCATGATCCCATGGTTTGTGAGTTCGAGCCCCGTGTCGGGCTCTGTGCTGACAGCTCAGAGCCTGGAGCCTGTTTCGGATTCTGTGTCTCCCTCTCTCTGACCCTCCCCCACTCTCACTCTGTCTCTGTCTCTCAAAAATAAACAAACATTAAAAACATCTTTAAAAAAAAGTCCACTGATACGATTTCAAATTCAGTGCTGCATTTGCCTTGAAGAAACTATCTTTTGTCAAGTTTTGGATAGTATCAAAGAATATCCCTGGTTTCTTGAAAAGACTGTTAAAAGGATTACCTTTTCCATCTACCTGTCTGTGAGGCTAGATTTTCTTCATGTTTTCAACCAAACAACATAGTACAACAGATTGAATGTAGAAGCAAATAGGAGAATCCAGCTATCTGTATTAAGCCAGGCCTTGAAAAGATTTGTTAAATGTAAAAACAGTTTCACTCTTCTCATTAAATGTTGTTTTTGGAAAATAGCTATTTTTCATAAAGAGATACAGTTTATGTGATATATAACTTCAAAGTTAATAGGTGTTAATTTTTTGTTTTATTATTTTTTTTTTTTTGAGAGAGAGACAGAGCAGGAGCAGAGGACAGGCAGTGAGAGAGGGAAACACATAATCTGAAGCAGGGGCTGGGCTCTGAGCTAGCTGTCAGCACTGAGCCCCATGTGGGGCGCGAACCACGAGATCGTGACCTGAGCCAAAGTTGGACACTCAACCGACTGAGCCACCCAGGTATCCCATTTTTTAAAAATTTTGAGTATAGTATGGATGTCATCCACGTAAGCAAAAACTCTTTAATCTGCACAGTAATGTTACTTATTTTTTAAATGTTTATTTTTGAGAGAGAGTGTGAGTGGGGAAGGGGCAAAGAGACGGAGACAGGAATCCAGTGAGGCTCTGCACTGACAGCCAAAAACAAGAGTTGGAAGCTTAACTGACTGAGCCACCCAGGCACCCCTGCACAGTAATTTT